TCGCCCCCGGCCCTTACCAGGTTCAATGCACTCACCGGCCAATTCATGAGCAGAGTCATCAACACTAAAAGTTTTGGTGGTCAGTGCAGAAAGGTGTTTAGTGATGATGGAAAATATCCCTACAGACTGAGTGGAAATGTCCTCTCCTACACATTCCAGGTACTGAATTAACTGGACTTAATTTATCTCTAATTGTGAATTGTCAGAAATCATTGTTTATATGATGTTGAGGGTTTGTTTTTTTTTTTTTGGCATTTGTTGAGAATCAACTTATGATTTATTATATAGTTCGTTTTCAAGTGTTCTGTGTGAGCTTAAGAAGAACAGGTTCTCTTTCATTTGGGTATTAGATTGTGATACATTGAGACCAGATCTCTTTATGCTTCATGTTCGACTCTGTGATCCATGGGGACAGAAAGTCTGGTGATCTGCTTCCTCCATGATTACAGCCAACAATACTCTAGAGAATAGTTCTTATTGTGGGTGCCCCTGTGTGGACGCCAAAATCCATGGCCAGGACTGTGGCTGCTTAGGGTCCTTCAGGGATGCCACGATGTCAGCCCACTTAAAAATGCTGTTAGTTTTATAGTTTATTTTAATTGTGAAATATTAATATAAATGAGTGTGAATTATAGATACATAAGACACATATTATATACACACATGTATAGAGTTGGAGGAAAAGTTTTTATCATGATGATTATGAAAGACATATATAATGGGTATTACTAATGATTTATGACTGCTCACTGACTGGTTTGTGGTTTGAACTCACCCATCAGTGCCATGGAAGAAAAGCCTGGAGCTCCACTTCCTTGCTGATTACAGCCGATGATACACTGTAGAACATAATGGCGGCCAATAGCAACATAACAAACACAAATACATCTGAAACAGTTGCCATTCCAACTTCCTTCATGTGTACAGAGGAGCCCTGGTGGCATAGTGCTGAAAGAAATTTGTTGTCAACCTAAAGAAAAGCAGTTTGAACTCACCAGATGTTTTGTGGAAGATGAGGCCGTTGGCTTTCATAAAGATTTGCAGCCTTGTAACTCAGAGGGGCCGTTCTTATGGGATCACTATGTCCCATAGGGTCACTATGAGTCAGAATTGACTTGATGGATGGTTCAGCGACATTAATAATGTAGACCAGCTTGTGCAAACACCCATTATCTGTTTCCAAACTTTCCCATCACGATTAACTGTGTCTTCTAAGTTCAATATCTTCCAAGTGATAAATCTCCTTCCCTTTCTCCTTCTTTCCTACGTGGTAACCAATAATAAACTTTGGCTTCCATATGCATTCATTTTCTAGGCACTTCATAGAAATGGGACAAAAATAAAAATCCATGTATTCTTACCACTTAAGAATGAGAACATTGCATATACTAATTGTATCTTTTCTCCATCTGCCAAAACCAATTCTTATATTTTGTATGAATCACTTTCTTGTTTAGGTGTATGAATCATCTAAAAGAAAAAATCACCTAAAAGAAAAAATAGAAGCTTATGATTTGTCTTTGTCCCTAAACATTTTTTTTTTGTTTGCTTTAGTTTAGCATTGCAGAGAATAGGCATCAAATCATAAAGCAAGCAGTTTTCTGATTTGCTTCCCCTCCACCACTCAAAATTAGAGTTTTTTT